GCGGACGCACCGCCGTGTAAAGAAAGAACTCTCCAAAAAAAAAAAAAAAAAAAAAAAAAATTAGAGGGCCAGCTGGGTGGTGCGGTGGTTAAGGGGGCTGGAGTAGAGAGTAGATCAGGATCACATGGCGGACTGCACAGTTCACATCTTGGACCCGGAAGCTTGTAAACCACGCCAGGTGCATGTGCGTGGATGCCTGAATGAGGCAGGAGAATGGAGAAGGGATTGTGGTAGGGCCGTCCCTCCTGGGGTGGTCTCTCTCTCTCTGTCTCGGGTGAGCGCATACACCCCGTGGCACACACGCATAAAATGATATTTATCATGTATAACGTAGTGTTTTGAAATATGCATACGTTGTAAAAGGGCTAAATCGAGGTAAGTGGCATGCATGAACTCCCGTACCTGTTTCTGTGGTGAGAACACTACGAATCTCTCCCCGAGTCGTTTGAAGACGGCAGCACCATTGACTATCATCGTGGTGCAATAGTCTCTCGGCCCCTTTGACTGACACCTCCATCACCACCACTTTCAGGTGAGGAAACTGAGGCTAAGAGAGGTCAACGGAAAGCCACCAGGAGGTGCGGTCACAATCCAAGCCCACGTGCATCTCCAAGGCTGCTTCTCAAATGTCTTCTAAAACCCCCTTTCAACAGGGAAGGCATTTGTGCTGGCGAGCCTGGGGGTGTAGCCCAACACAGCCAGACATAAAAAAAAAAAAATCTCATGTGCTGAGACCAGCAGATGGCATAATGGTTACATCGCTGGACTCCCACATGGCTGATTGCAGTTTGAGTCCCAGACCTGGTGACTTGAAACTCACGCTGAGCACGTGTGTGTGCATGCTCAAAATCTCGAGGGGAGAATGGAGAAGGGATTATGGTGTAGCCATCCCCCCTGGGGGGTGATTTCTCGCTTTCTGTCTCCCTGTCTCTCTCTGCCTCTTGGCAAGCACACATGCCCTATAGCAAAAATCTCTCTTAAAAAAAAAATCTCGTGTATTAGCTGAGAAAAATGCATACAAGAATCACATTTCTATTCAATGGTATATCTGTGTTTGTTTTAAAAAGAAAAGCGATGTCCCTTCCTGACAATCATCAAGTGCATCCGACGCCCAGGGAAGCCATCCTGTTATCCTGGGCTTTGGGGTCCCCCTGGCGGGCCTATGCTGCACTCCCAGGGGTCCCAGGCCCTGGCTGGTCCCTGCTTCCGGCTCTGGCTGTGCTCCTGCTAGAAGACCAGCACCCGCCCGGAACCGGGAGGCTCCTTGGCTCCCACCCTTTGCTTCCCGGGCATGCCTCTGGTGGAGACCCGCCAGGAGGCCTCAGCTGGGCTTTAGGCATCTCCGTCTCCTCCAATAATGACTTTCTATAAATCAGATCTGCCCTCTGCTTTGCTCCACACTGCTCTCAGCCAACAGCAAAACTCCCCGCCCGACATCATAAATCCACCTTCATTTTCTTTCCAAATTTCTTTTAAGGCTTCTTTAATCACCACCTTGCAGTCATGACAGATGCTCCCTTCAAGGGAGGCCCGAATGCAGAGTTCCTGGGTGGGGCCCAGGGAGGGAGGCTCAAGTGGGAAGGAGGGAGAAAGCTGGTTCCGGAGGAGTGGGGTAAGATGCCCACGCCAGGCAGGGATGGAGGGACACACAGAGCATGCGCCCAGGTCAGGGGCTGGCCTGCTCCCTGGTGTGTCCCGGCCTGCCATGGAACCCCCTGCACCCCAGGTGCCCGGCAGAGGGTCCTGCCTCACTGGCAGAGCCTCTGGGCAGCAGGGTGGGCACTGTCCCTCGTTTAGCCCTTTCCTTCTCAGACACCCCCACTTTGAAGAGGCGAATGCTGAGGCTGAGAGGGCTTAGTAATCTGCCCCCTAGGGCGTGGTGGGGGTAGGATCTGCACCTGGCAGCCTTGGTCCCTCGGTCCCTTGAGAGCTGGCAGGGTGGCCGCTAGATGGCACTGTGACCCAGCGCAGCGGCGGTGGCCATGGAATTGACAGGGTCTGGGAGGCGGCCTCCCCGCCCCCTCCTGCAGAGCCGGACGGCCTCCTACAGGCAGTGCCATTGCCTGGCCTGCTGCCAGGTGCCCTGCCAGGCAGCTGCTTCAGCTACCACTACCTGGGCTGCAGGCAGAGTCCTGAGGGTCAGTCCCGGGGGGCTTCAGTCCCTGAGCAGCACTCCCAGGCTGCGCCAGGGCTTTCCCCCAACAGCCCCTCCCGGCCTGGCCTGCTGGAGGTCAACAGAAAGGTCAGCCGTGGTGGCAGTTTAGGAGAGGGGGCTCTAAGTGCTAGCTCTCGACAAACCTCCCGTGTGACCTTGGGTGAGTTGCGGCTGCTCTCTGGGCCTGGGTTTGCTCTGTGTGAGCGGGCAGGCTCTCTCGGGCCACGTGCTGTCTAGCAGATGGGTGTGTGTGGCTTGGCTCCGGGGACCTCAGCTCCCGGATTGCACATCTGGCTGTGGCTGGCTTCTCCTCAGGCTGCTCGGAGCCTCGCTCATCCCTGCCTGCTCCCGCCCAGCTCCCCGGCTCCCCGAGGCCCCTGGCACAGGCCTGGAGCTGAGTGCTGGCCACGTGCCCAGAGCCTTGGCCAGCAGGCCGGGCTCAGCATGGCGGCCCGTACATTTGGGGTCCATTTCTGGGGCTCGGGGGGGGCACTCTGGGCCAGTTTTCCAGCCAGATGTCCATGTGTCATTAGTCAAGTGACAAAGGGGGCTGCAGGGTAGCGTTGGGGGGCTTGGCGGGCAAGGAAAGGGTGGGCTGGGGAAGGCGGGCAGACTGAGTAGTAACTTGGTGGGCCAAATAGGTTCTTGCCAGCCAAATGGCTTTTGGAAGTCTGCAAAGCAGCGCTAACGTGTCCTCTGGGCACGCCAGCTGCCCCAGCCTCCCTCCATGCCTCCACAGAAGCTGCAGAGCCCTCCTTGAGCAGCTCTGTCCTTCCAGTACCTCCCGGCACAGTTGGCTGGGGCTCCAACCCCCATCGCTGCTCCTCAGCTGTCCCCTCGGTCCCCTCCTTCCCTCCCCTCGGTTCCGCGCCAGCCCAGCCAGCGCGAACAATGCCCCCTTCATGCTCAAACCCAGCCGCAACCTTCTGATTCTTTTCTTCGGCGCCCAGCCCGCTCTCCCAGTCCTTGCCTCCCTTCCAGCTCATCATGTTCAAGTGCTTCATCCCAGCCCACCCCCTTCTCCTGCAAGATCAAGGCACTTAATTGCCAAGCCAGCCCAGTACACAGAACTGCGAACTATTCAGAAAAATTGACTGTACACATCTCGGCCGGATCGCCTGCATGTTTATTCTTCTTCCCAGGGAAACATAGTTTATTACCGACACTCAGCCTTTCCGCGTACGTTCACGCACGGAGCTCTCGGCGCTTTGATGGGGCTTGAGCTGTGCAAACTATTTTACTGTCTCGTCGTTTGTTCCCACAAACTTTGTCAGACAGGTCAACATTAATCTCCCCATTCCACTGAGATGGGAAGTGGCTACAGAGAGGCACTGCAAACTCAGGAGAGGCAGGGATGGACCTTTCCGGGGAGGGCTTGGAGGCTATGCCACCACCTGGGGGTCTGGAGGCAGAGGGTGGCCCAATGGACCCTGCGAGTAGCCTTCCGGCCCCAGGCTCTGGGCTGCACTCCTGGGGAAGCCTCTGCTGCAAACTTGGGTTGAATATAGTGGGGAGGCCAACCGCCGGGAGAATCCCCCCGTCCGAAACGCGGGTGGGTGTGAGAGGGGCTGACGGTCAGTGTGAAGTCGCCGTGCACAGCTCTGCTTCCTGCTTTGGCATCCCAGACAGGAACTGCGGGCTGTTGGCAGCTTCTCAGAGTTTAGTCAGCAGCCGTGCTGCAATTAGAAAAACAGCCTTCCCTAGAAAGATCTCCCTGTCAGAGACTGTGACAATAGGTCCCCCATCCAGAAAGATGAGGGGGGAGCACGCCTTCCAAAAAAAAAGTGCTGGAGAGCTTTTGGAACAAGAACACAATTCTTTGAGCTCAGTTATCCGAGACGGGACCCAGCTGAAGCTTAGGGATTTAGCACTCAATTCCTGGCCGCTTACGTGGAAGTAAATAATTTCATCTGCTGTTTGGCAATAAAGAATGCTTTAAATCTCCGCTGTTGTGATTTGTCAGTTTTCTCCTCCAGAACCAGCTCACCCGTCATTGGGGTTATGCAGGGATGGGATAGGAGGGTCCAGGAGAGGAGGGTGGCATGGTGTCCTCAGGCCTCTTTCGGGCCAGCCCCTCTGCCCGACGCCCCCTGCTGGGCCTCCTGAAGCTCCCAGGGGCCACCAACCCTCAAGAGCCAGCGTTGAGGCACCTTCTGCGGTGGCAGGATGGAATACAGCCTTGCCATCCCCTCCCCAGGGACACAGCCCACCTGCTCCTTGAGGTCTTGATGGCTTAGGCCCAGCCCCAGCCCCGGCCCCTGCCCTCCCGTGTCGCTCTGCATACCTGTGTATTTGCTGACCCCAGCCTCGGCGGCCACATCCCGGAGAGCCAGAATGCCCCGGGAGAGGTCACTGGCCTCGGGGTCCATCTCTATGAGGGCATCCGGGCCCACGTTCCCATAGGCGTAATTGGCGATGTAGATGGAGTAGCGTCCCGAGCCCTGAGGAGAAGGAAGAGGCGGCTGAGCGGGCCTTCATGCCTCGGCCAGCCCTTCCCCACTCCCCCACCCGCTGCCACGGGGCTGTGGCTCTTTCTGGGGGTTGGGTCCTCCCTCCAGGTCTGCGGCGAACGGCCTTGCAGGCTGCGCGGCACAACTCCGGAGGGGCTCTCACAGAGGCTACGAGTGAACGGCGCCCCCCGGGAGTTGTACAACAAAGCAGCCCGCTTCTCCTTCTATCCTGTTCCAGAAGAACACGTCCCTCCCTCTCCCCCACAACCACCTTTTTATAGACAATTTTCTAATGTGCCTGCCTCCAGCTGAGCTCTCTCCAGCTGCCAGCCAGGGTAGCTGCTCAATAAATATTTGCTGATTGATTGATCTACCAATTCCCATTATTCTCAGTCTCTCCCTCTCCCATTCAAGCTCACTCCGGCAAGATGACAAGCAAATTCCTGAGCCATCTCCTGCTCCCCTTCACACCCGCGCTCCTGCCTCCCTCTGTCCCGGGAGCACGAGAGACACACGTTTGCAGGGGTCCTTCGCTCTCCCATTCCCTTGCAGGCCCTGCATTACCAGAAAGATATAAAACATTGCTCTGCCTTTATAACACTGTCTCTGAAAAAATTTCCCCCTTTGCATCCAGACGCCCCGGGCACCAGCTTCTCTTTGCTGTCGTCATTCTCTTCTCTAGTCCAAAACACTGGGGATGAAAGGTTCCTTTCTGCCCAGTGTAATAATGCCGTTGTTTCTTCAATGCATGCCTCCTTCTTCCCGAGGGATGCACAGTTTCTAAGTTGGGTTTCTAGCTCTCCTCTCGCCCTTTCATCCCTTCCCTCCGATTAATCAGACGGTAGGTATTCCTTGAGCTTTCACCACGTGCAAGACGCTCCCCTGTGAAGGTACCTAAGACAAGTCCCTGTCTGGTGTCTAGTTTGGAAGGGAAGCCGTTGGCGCGAGAGAAAGGGGACAGCAGCGCACAGCCATGCTGTGCTCCCTCGCCCCTCGGCCCTCTGTGCCTGCGCCTGCCTCTTATCCAACGGCACCCCGAGCAGAGCCCTCGCCCCTCCTGACAGCCACGGACTTCACACCTTCTGGGGGAGCATTTCCTGGTGGAGGCTAAGCGTCTGCCCGGCGGCCGAGGCTAAGGAGGGCGTCTGTCAGAGCACCCCGGGTCATACACGGTCCAGGGCGGAGTCTGGGCAGGAGCTCCTGGTGCTCAGACCACACCACAGGAAGTTTGGAAGGCGATTTCCTCCGAGCAGTCTCAGCCAGGAGAAGTGGAGAAGAACCTTCCAGGCAGGTGAGAAGCGGCGCAATGCGGGTAGGAAGATCCGGGCAGCTAGTTCAGTGTTGCTGGGACGTAACGGGAGCGGGGAGTGTCAAGGGACGGAGTCCAGACGGTTGCGAAGCTCTTGTCTACAGACTCCGACGGCCCTTTCTCTGTGATTATCCAAGTCCTATTCTGCTCTCTGCGGACTTTGCTTTACAAATCTCGTCACTTAAAGTTGTCTCTGGGCCACCTGGGTGATGCCTGGAGCATGTCAGAGGTAAACCAGAGTCTCGGGCTCCACCCCAGACTCGCTGAATCGGAATCTGTTTTTTTTTTTGAGAGGTTTTTTTGCTATAGGGCGCGTGCGCTCGCCAGACAGAGAGAGACATACAGACAGAAAGCGAGAAATCACCCCCCAGGGGGGGTGGC